CCGCCCTCCAGTTGTATCTGTCCTATCTCAAATAGGCTAATACCTTTCTTCATGTTATTTTTGTCCGTGATTTTTCAGAGCAAGAGGTGAGATTACGCGACATCTGCGGCGAACTCCTTGGACCATTCTACCGAGAAGACGCCAAGGAGTCGCTGTGGCAACCCACGGAAACGGTAAGCCATGCTCCAAAAAAACCTTGTTCGGAAACGCTTACCAACCCTCTTGTATCTTGTGGTCCTTTTGCGTAAACTTGTTATCTTTTTTCTGATTCAGGGTTTGTCGAAGCACGATCTCTTAGAGGAAATTCTCCCCGTCATCGGTTCCAACCTCAAGATGCAGAGATTGTATGCGGAGTACCAGGAAGAACTCAAAATCCTCAAAGAGAAGACATCATGGCTTGACTGATTGATGAATTCATCTTGGATAATCTATCCAAATGTGAAATAACCACATCCAAAAATGCGTCTTTTAAGTTCAAGCTTTTGACAAAAATCTGTATTTGTGAATGAACATCTGTGTGACAGGGTTGGGCTTATCGGCCTAAAGTGGCAGTTGTGTTTGAGAAAGGCCAACTGTCAGAATTTGCATTTAGTCCATACCTCATTTATTTTGCCCGAGGGCACGTTTGATCAAGGTCCACTAGTTAACTTGTGGTAGATTCGTGATGTACCTAGGTGAAGTTGAAGTGCGAATGACCCTAGCCATCCGTTGTCATAAGGTGGAAGGGGAGATAAGGTGGTCGCAGGAAGGGCAAAATAGCCAAAAAATGAAGTGAAAATGGTCATTTACTAGTAACATACTCTTTGCTGTCATTTTTCTTATAACTGATCCTCTCTGGACTGTGCTATTGAAAACGGTTGATGGCAATTAACGATGCGACCAACCTCGATAGACTGGTCGTGAGTGGTTGATGAGACTAGTCCAACCATCGTCAACTAGCCTGCATTCCATCAGAGTTAGTTGAACTAAGGTTAACTATGGTCCTTGATCGAACTTGTCGTATTCTTCAATTACTTCAAATGCTGAACCATCTGCACACTACACAGGTCAGGAAGATCATTTGAACATGAGCCTGATCCCACAAAATGAGTCTTTCAAGGCCGTCTTTTTCAAATAATTTTGTTTTAGTTTGCATTTGGAAGAGTACACCAAGTTCTTTGTTTTGAAGTGTCCCTCACTTTGCCATCCTGACAGAAATGGACACTGTGTGGGTGATACATGTTGAACGTTTCTGTTGATTTACATTTGTCTCTGGTGACCTCCAGACTCATTTTGTCAGAACTTAAGTCAAGAAGCCCAAACGTAATCAACAATGAATCCAATCAAACTTCAAATCACCCTGAGACATTTTTGGTCTTTGTGACTGAACTCGTTAAAATTTAGATTGGTGTTTACAGTGATTAAAGAAAAAACGTTATGTATATTTTTATAGTTGGTTAATGTGTTCAGAGCTGATTCACAGGACTTATTGCTTAAACAGACCGATTGCATCCGTTACATCATGTGACCTATAATACGGGCGATTCACAATAAGGCGCAACCAAGAGTTTGCAACACGTTGGCCAATCATAACGCGCGAAATTTGTCGACCCTTTCCAAATACCCAAATTTTGCACACTGTGATTGGCCTACGCGTTGCAAACTCATGGTGGGGAACTATTGTGAAACGGCCATATTGGTATCACTCCAAGACCGTTTTCCAATCCTGAACTTCGTCTCTGTCTCAGGCTTCGTGTAGGAAACCAATCCCCGATTGTGGGCCTGAAGCGTTTAACTTAAATTGAAGTACTGTAATGTTTGGCTCTTTTGCATCTTACTTGATGCTCTGTGGCACTATCAGACTTACTGTTGCGCTTACAACCTCAAAGTCAGGAAGTAAAAAACCAGTCGAAGCCTGAGATGGAGCCCAAGTCGGCCCAAGAGCAAAGTGTGCTTTGAGTGTTGTTTACAAGCAAGTACCCTGCGCTTCACGTAATCTTAGTGCGGTACCTACCGTCAGCTTTATTTTGAGGAAGTGATACTAATGAAACACTTTGCCTTTGGTGGACATCTTGGTTGTTGATATTTAATACCCACTATTGGTCACCTGTTTTCTTCCTTAGATATTGACCTTCAAAGACAGTAACGCACTCATTTTTTCCCAGACTGGTGTGCAGACAACTTATTTGTTAGTTCTCAGGGGAGTTTAGCTCCACAGTCGAATGTTCTGTGCTCTTATTCTGTACATCTGTGTAACATTCTTACACATTTCAGCTCTGCTCAGGTTGGTTTACTCATAGAAACAAACTCATTTTGTTTTCCCGACACGGAACGATTAAAAATTTTTACTCTTGAGGTCTTCCAAAAAAATCCTACAATTTCAGGGTCACGATTTGACAGAAAAGAGTTGGTCAAACTATCATGATTTCTCAGCAAATCGTTTCGAATTTTTCTGCCCAAATTCAACTTACTTTGGTTGTAGCTTGGATAATTGGACGATGTTAAAAAACTTGTTACTTTTACTGGATAAATGTGACCTGTCACCACAAAATGAGCTTAAAGTCAGAGGTTTTGACAATGGAGATATTGGTTTTTGGATTTTATCAGAAAGAGATTTCCAATGGCAAAACAGAGTAAAAAATAGGGTGATGACGAGATAATCCGGTGGCAACATTTCTGACTGACGACTAACAATGTACTCGTCAGAATTGGGGGAAAAAAGACTTTCAAATATCTGATCCTATTAAAAACTTGGAATTAAATAGAACAAGGCTTACTCTTTCTAAAAATTACAAAACCCAAGAAATGACCTCCCTTCTGTTTCTGTCATAAAAAGAAAGGAGTGCGACTTGATGCTCATTTGTCATGACCGGTCACAAATGTTTGCCTGACTTCGCCACAACCTGACATAATTTAGTCTCGCAGGGCTTGTATGAAATATGTTCAGTAGCCCCCTTTTTATATCGAGAGACAAACAAAGCCAGAATAATGTGAAGTGATTTCTTCTGCTACTTGTCAGGATTTTCAAAGCAATGTTTTGAGGTTGAACAAACCATTTGGATTAAGATATTTTTTCTCATAAACAATGATTTGTACATCTTTGCATTGGACTACGACGGGTCTGGTGCTACAAACACTGGTCCCTGTGTACATGGTTTTGATAAATAAAAGGATCTTAGGATCTTTGAATGATAGATATTTATTTGGGCTTAAATCCTAGGTAAATGAAGGGTAAATGCCACCCTTGACCTCTTTTATAATCGATTTGAGTCTGTCTCGAGTCACAAGTTCTGGCAACTCAACGATATTACAATGACTTGACTCAAATGAGTCACTCTTACAACTCGACTCTGACTTGAGTCACTTTTGGCAACTCGACTCGCGTTACAACATGACTCAAGTGAGTCACCATGTTACAACTCAACTTGAGTCACCAAAATTAGAGACTCGTTACAACTCTGCTGTTAATGAGGTCCTGTTTAAAGCATGACCTTGCACCATGAGCATTGCTAGGATTTTTAGGGGGGAGGAACAGCGCTCATCAGCAACGAACTTATAAACTGTTAAAAGTGGGGAGAGGTCAATTTCTTTTTTTTTTAAATGAGTGATTCTTATCACCTTTAATCTCATTTCTCCATTCCTTTGGCATTTTCTATTTTTTCTATTTTCAGCTTTTGTTTTCTGGGAACGAGTGCCCCTCCCCCTTATTTAAGCCCCTTGCAATGCCCATGACTCACACGGGAGAAAAGTACTTGCTAGCTGGTGTTGACAAGCCCCTCCTTGACCAAGAAGTCAAAGAGTTTACGGATCTTGTTGACGTCAATCTTGATAAGGTTGCGGGCCTGCTTCAGCTTGAGGTGGCCCACCCGCTCGCACTCTGTCTGGAAGATGCGCTTGTACTCGAAGTAGGCCTCGGGGATGATGCGCACGGTCGCACACAGCTACGAACATCAAACAAAATACGACATTCAAATATGGCTGAACAACGAAATGGAATTTAACCACATGCCAATGGGATTGTTTCACAACAAAGCTGCCCCTGGCATAGTATAAATTTCAGATAAAAATACCAATTACAGTGGAACGCCGCTATAGTGAACAAGACGGAGTCCACGCTAAATGTTCAGTATAGCAAATTTAACTGCCGAACATTTTGTTGCCATGTTGAATAGCGCCCTCTCTTGTCTAACCGAAGTGCACCCTCTTGTGATACCTTGGTTTGCTGTTTTCGTGATGTTTTGCCGTTGCATTCAAAGTTTAAGGTTTCTAGAAATGTATCTGTTAATTATTTTTGTTTTTTATTTAAACGAGCTCAAAAAATTGATACCAAGTCTATCCTAAAAGTCATGAATCTACCGCTCAGGATCGATCTCTGATGCATGCTGTGGCAAATTTCGGTTGATTTGTGTATCAGCGGCGCCCGCTTTAGACTACATTGTATTGTTAGTGCAATGCCAACGTGCACGTACGTGCGGTTTTCTTCCGCACCCGATCATGTGGAGTCGCAAAACCAGTGTAAATTCAATACCATTGACAACTAGTGGCTTTCCCTTCTAATCCTTGGGGAAATAATGGCCACTTGTCACTTTCCAACATTGAAAAACACCAACTGTTTTATCACGTTGACGTTCCATAATTACAAACGGCAACTGCATAATGTTCGGTAGGTTCTGCGCACAAATAATTGAGAGCCAAGGACGATGTTTGGTACAGCCGAATGTTCGGTGTAGCGGCGTTCCACTGTACATCAAACGATAAGATACTTTGACCCGTACTGATCATTTGCTCCAGATTTGTGCGACATTTCTCAACGCATCACTACTTTTCTTAAACTGAGCGAAAATGTTGCTGAGTGATACTGGAAACAAAGCCTGGCTGTGGCACATGGCCACTTGAGGGCGCCACACACTCTCAACCTCCACCAACAAAGTTTGAGCACACACTCAATGGGAAGCACTCAAGCGTGGGGACGAGGACAGAAATCAACCAAAACTGCATGCAGACTTTGCCAGAATTGGCCTTTGGGTAAAAAGTGGTTCAATGTAACAAAAGAAGAATTTCATGGATAAATACTCTTGAGATATTTCTCAATTCTCTAATTTTATTCTCTCGGACGAAGCTCACCTCTCTCTCTTTTTCGTTGAGTCGCTCGTACCCAGCAAAGCCAGTCAGGTCCAGAGGCGGGGCTGACTTACGACCTGAAAGCCACAAGATAAACAGATTGTTTGATATTTTGAGCGTTTCTGAAAATATTTTGTGTGGTCCATCTTTGGTCATGTATAACTCTGATCCTGCCACTGTACAGACAATTTAAAGTTATTTACGTGTAGCGTAGAGACACGATCACATCAGTGTAAAATGAGAAGGACATTTGCAAATACTTGAAAGCTCAAATAAAGACGGTCAGTTTACTTACCTCCACTGGGTAGAATCGGCAGCAATTCAGTGTGACCAGCATCACTGAAAAAAAGCAAATACAATGTGGTATGATTGATGTGTAGAGAATTTTGTAGGCAAACGTGTGACGGAGGCAAGTTTAGTGATTGAGAGAAAAGTATGTTCAACTTTGACCCTCCCAGCTCTTCCAAAATCCACAAAGAGGTTTTGGAAGATTTTGTAGGATTGAAGAAAGTAAAGCGAAGCCTAATACATGGGGCTTGATGGCCCTTGAAAGATGAAGTACATGTACAAAGAATGTGCCATTGGGTCCTTGCACGGTGAAGAATTTTGTAGGATTCATGAAAATTTCTAGCAAAAGTGACAATGGGCAATCCGCCCCGAGCTGAAGTGCACCCCCAATCAGTGAAAGAAAGACAGGTGGTTACAAGCAGGTTCTTGAACGCATTCCGTGTGTACGCAAAGACCATACATGCCAGAATAAATTAGTAACGCGTACTCAGCGCGCCCCGCATTAAATGTGCATATACTTGATGAGTCCCCAAAAAAGCACGCCCTCTTTTGTTCCGCTTGGAGCTCTCCCAACCTCAATATTATTCTCAAAGAATACAGGCCTATTTCTCAAGTCCATTCCTGCAAGCAGAACAAGAATCCATTACTGCTGTGAGCGCCACGCTTATACGCAGGTGGTATGCACATGTTGAAGACTTCTTCGATTATAGGTCGCTGTGACCTGCAACATCCAAAGCACTCCTTGGGTTTATGAATACGAGTATGTGACTATGACCTTAGTGCAACCCCAGCAGCAGCGTCTTGTCGGGTATCGTCTACCGTGCTAACACCCGTCTTTCCACACTTTTAGTTTCTTACTGNCACAAAACTGCCTAGCTTTACTTAGAGAAGTCGGGATTGCTTACACGAGCGCTTGGCGCAAGAGCCACTGCTTGCAGGCGATGGGATCTTGGCTTGTTGCCAACACGTCATCCAGGTGGTGTCTCTTTTCCCGTTTGGCTCGTTTGATTTTTAGTCTGTCATACAGCCTAGCACCTGAGGACACATAAACAAGATGAACAATTTTTTCTACTTTAAAAGGCTTGTGGGAGATTATAGATGAAAGCTTGAATTGATTTTAAATCTAAATCTTGCGAATGAATCCACTGTCCAATTTCACATAAGACAGAGTTTTTCTTCACACTGGAAAATATTCTTTTGAATAAAACAAGACAAGGAAATTTTGCCTGATGATCAGTTGCATAATTGTTTAACAACGCTCTCGTTTCAATGTCATACCAGTAAAGGTTAACCCCTGAACAGATATTTATGTCATGCCGATACAAATATTCTACCAAGTATCTTTAGCGTAGCTAATGAACGACGCTACACTTAAAATTCACTAGCTTGTCTTCAGATTAACGTTATTGCCTCACCTATCATGTTTTTTATCCCGTTGGAGCGATATTCCTGTAATCTGTCAATCTCTGTCTTCAAATCAAGTTCATCTGTAACAAATTAGACACAGTGTCCGATCATTTTCTTGAAAAGGTTTTAACAACAAAGCAATTAAGTTCATTAAAGTACTCCCTACCGAGAATGTAAGACAAAAAAGTTTCAATCAACTTATGAAGATTCTCATTCCAGTTTCTTCCTAGTTTTCCATGAAGTGTATGATCTGGCCAGTGGCCTTTCCTGGTTGTTCCTAGTTTTCCATGAAGTGCATGGTCTGGCCAATGGCATTTCCTGGTTGTTCCCAGTTTATCAAGTGACTACACCAACAGTGCATTAATAGCCTACTTACATATCAACCCTTCCAGAAGCTTATCCTGTGCTAGTGGTGTGTGTAGTCTGGCAAACGATTTGAGTTTGTTGATCAGGTTCCGGACTGTCTCTGTGTGCGTCCTCTCTTGCACTGTGAACAAAAAACAGCATAAACCAGACAAAAATTGAGAACAAAAATGCTCCAAGTCACGTCTTCATCAATATCCAACTAAATCATAAAACAAATCATTACAGGATTCAAGAAATTAGGGATCCAAAAGTGTGACATTTTTGTGTCCCTGTTT